CTCCAAATATTCTCAATCTTCTAAAGTGCTTCAAATTGATCCAAGATAGTGGTAAAATAACGTAGTACCTGCCCGCTTGCAAGGGTTTGTGGTGGATCGCAGGCGAGTAAAACTGCCGTAGAAGTTTGATAACAGCCGGATAGGGGGATCGGCTAGCCTGTTCTTACTGTGCAATGTTTTCGAAGAGATAAGCTATCAATGCTAGCGTGGAAAAAAGCCACAGATAATCCAAGAAAACGGGGAGCTAAGCTGATGTGGTAGTTGGAAAACTGCTTCCTAATTCATGGACAGGCAATCGAAGGACACCAAAACCAAGGCCACAGTAGTGCTGGCGACCTGAGGAGGACCCGAAGGAATGCGTGCAGAAGTACGCTGTCATTCGGGTTAAGCAAGCGCGCAATAAATACAGCTGAACGTCAGTTATCGAATGTTTTCAGACCTTAGTAGCAGCAAGTGAATCCTCAGGTGGTAACCCTAATAGCCAACATGGATAATGGGTCTCTTCGTAGTCTCTGGAAGTTATCGATGCTCGCCGGCGCATTCAGGCTGGAAACGAACACAATGAGACCGCGAAGACCTCAGGACAAAACTTCGTATCATCCAAAAGAGAGACCACGAATCCTGGTGGTCTCATCATGCCTCGGAGATGGAAACAGAAACTACCGTGGGTAACCATCGGAAGTTATCCTGACCGATACGGGAAACGGGCAGCAGATCTGGTGTTAGTGAAACTATGGGTGACGAGAGTAGACAGCCTATCCACAAGTTCCCAAAACGCTTGGGGCGTTTGGTTGAGCACTTCAAAAGGCAATTTAATCGGCCGGCGTTGTCAGATTTCTCACCGGCCAGTGATGGTCCTGCGCTGTCCCATTGGATGCACCTTCTCGCTCAGGAGTCGAACGTGGGACTAGACTGCTAGACAATATAATCTTCCTCTAGTCCACTTCAAATTCGGGGGAGCTGCTCTCGTTGATGATTTACACGAGTTCCTAGCGAAACTTCGGAAGCAGGAAACTGTCTCAAACGTCTGAAGCCACTCTGTTGTTGTCCCGACCTTCAAGGTAGGCTCACGTTCGGAATGCGGTAACCATAAAGGAATCAGCCTGAGCTCCATCGTCCCCAAATTTTTTGTCTCTGTAATATTTCACAGGCAGACTGGCACACGTGAAAACGAGATTCGCGAAGAGCAAGCCGGGTTCCATCGAAACTGAGGCTGCATCGATCACATCCTTACGTTGCTCCAACAAGTGGAGCACCACCATATTGGCAGCCAACTGTTGGCGTGCTCCTCGACATCAAAAGTGCCTTGGATTCAGTGGGTCGATTTGTCCTTAGGTACTGTTTGCGAAGCAAAGGTGTGCCCGATAAGTGCGTAAACATTATCCGAGCGCAGTACACGCATAGTTCGGGCAGAGTGAGGGTTTATGGCAAGCTATCGTCGCTCTTCAGTATCTCCAGCAGTGTAAGACAAGGATGCCCACTGTCACCTTTCCTCTTCAACTTCACTATTGACGAAGTCATGGAAACAGCGTTCGCTGGACACGACTCAGGTTTGGAGCTGCTATCAAATGTGTGTATGTCAGCTGTACGCCGTAACGGCGCTTCGCTGCCGCGCGACCACCACCAGTCGCGCGTGGGCTGAGTATACCGCGAGGACGTCCACCCCTACGCGGATGCGAACCGGTGACCTTATGGTTGCAAACCAAACGCGCAGACCACTCGGTCACCGGCCGACAGGTGAGCGGCCTCTTGACTCGAAGTATGCGGACGATATTGCACTCATCTGTGACAACTCCCAAACGTGCCAAGCGGCACTGGACAGATTATCACTGGTTGTCAGCCGCCTTGGGCTTTCCTTCAAGACTGGCAGGGACGGTCGCCAACGCTGACCCTTGGTGAGGATCAATCGAAAATCTAACTACCCAGGCAGTTGTATCGGCGTCTGCGTAATCGAAGATGAGTTCAGAAACCGTAGAGCAAAAGCTCGAGGCGCTTTTGCTAGCCTTCGCCACCTGTGGCACCTGCACTCTCGCAGCCGTACGTTCGACCCTACTGTATAGTTGTGAAACCTAGCGGATTATATTGGAAGACATAAAGAGGCTAGTTGCGTTCGACTACCGATGCCTTCGCAATTTGGCTCATATCTAGTAGGAACACCGCATGAGCAATGAGCGTCTTCGAGGCCTTGTTTATGGCATAGGAGGAGGAAGTGAACCATTCGGCACCGTTATACCACACACCAGGCTCCGATGGCTGGGCCACGTGTTACGCATCCCAGAACACCGACTCCCGCGGTGTGCATTGTTTGCGCGTCGGGGGCATGGACGGAAGAAGAGGAGGGGTGGCCAAGCGATGACTTGGCCAAGAGGAATGCACTTACTTCGAAGTTGGCCTCGGTTGGAGCCTCCAGGCTCCTTGGTTGAGGCATAAAAGACGATGAACACGTTTGGCTGGATACACTTGTTCGCATGGCTAGGAACCGACCTAGGTGGTGTGTATTGCGTTTCTTTGTCCATCCCCATCACTCTCAGCCTCCCCTTCCAGTCACGATCTGATTTCTCAGGCATAATGTAATTTTTGGTGGCACAATAGCCGGCTGGTAGCTGTCCGAAACAATGCCTATCCGTTACTGGCGGTTCAGCTAGCGTGCCTCTTTTGTCTGTGTTTCTTGTTCTTTCCTTATGTATTGCGGTACAATAGCTGTGTTTTACATCCCTAGCTAATGTGTAAATGGTGATGAAAGTGATGTAGGTTCATAGGGCCACCGAGATAGGCGGAAACGCTGGCCTCGCTCCAGGTGGATGGCAAACAAAATTATATGGACTGCTTCATGACTGCAGGACATTACGTTGTCTAGGCGTATCAGACGAAGCTAGCCGTCCAGGCTGGAGCCCATGCGACCCAGAACATTAACAGGACATGTCAGTCAGTCGACACTAGCGGTTCGTCTGTCGTCATCTGTTCGGATTGTCCATTTGCAGTGTGTCCGATGCTGTGTTATCTGCATGATTAGATTGATCATAAAGAGGAACAGTGGCAGTCACAAGGAAGTTTTCTCGCTGATGTTACCGTTTCTTCTCCCGACCACCAGTTGCTTGTGACCGTATGTTGTTGACAAGATGTAGACGCCTTGACATTGGATGCATGCTTGGGTCATTAGTCTTTTACGCTAGGTCCTGTTGTCCCTCCTATTAGTATGCAGTTTCTATCTCATCATAGTTGTAGAGCAACTAACTTTTAGTTCAAACACAACTGACTTACTGCCGCTGGTGATGCTGTTAGACGTGTCGGAACCACATCCAACATGATTCTATGTGGCTATCGAATGCAGTCGGCCGCGTAATATGTAATGGATGAAGACGGTGTAGAGCGGCCAACAGAAGAGGTTGTCCAATAAAACACAACTGATGAGACAAGTTCAGTGTCACAGGGAAGCAAGTGAGATGTGGGCAGTGCTTAGGAAAACAAATACTTCCCAAAATGACGGCCGTCAAGCAGCCTACACCAGAGCTCATTGCTGACCAAAACCGTTTATTCGCACAACAGGGGGCGGAGAGCGCGCGCACGAACGGGTAATCGTTAACACCATGAGACGAAATGAGTCAGCAAAAAATTATCGGTAACCCGATATCCATATTAACAACGAGGTCAGCGGAGTGTCGAGGTCTGAAGAGCCGCGTGGTATGTCGTGGACAGCAGTCTGATCATTTGGCTCATTCGATGAATACTATTGTCAGTGCGGCAACATATGCACCAGTTTTGCAAATCGCAGCCTCGCTCTCGTTGCCGTATTAGAGCCATTCGAGTGTGAGCAACACCCTAGAGCTTGCTCTTCGTGTGTACATGATACAGACTACCGGCTCGGTACACACCCAGTCAGACAAGAGAGCTATGGCGTATGTGCAGTTGGAGATTACTGGTCAGCGACCCGGAAGAACTTCGGCTATAGAAACGGCAGAGAGAACAGAGCTAGGTATAATCATTACTCGTACGAAGGATAGGGGACACACAGCAACGATAGCGCAAACACCTAGTCGCTGTATCTGCAGCCGAGTTAGTACAGGGGACCTGAGCACAGCATCCATTGAACTAATGTGGATTATCACGGTGGATATTACTGTGAATAGGTTAAAGCAAGTAAGTAGATAATCAAAAAGAAAATTTCTCATGAAGAATGTATACCCCTCCACTAAGATAAGCCGATCGGAAATACTGAACGAAGGCTAAAGTGTAGTCGCTGCTGTTAGCGATACGCGATCCACATCGAATGAGCGCGTTGCCACTTCCGTGAAGGTGAGATGAGTCGGTCGGTGTTAAGCAGAAAGTTTTCCGACAAAACATTTATACAATTTGCATAATTGCTGAGGTCAAATCATGTGAAAACTGCGTGTAGATTGACCGTCGATGTGGGTTAAGTTGCTCTACCCTCGTAAACACGCGACTGATGAGAAGAAAAAAGGTGATAAGACTAACTTTTAATGTTTGGAGCGCACAGTGAAAGCAATCATTCAAAGCAGAGTTTTTATCAAAGTCAGTGGCGGTGAAAAGCACAGCTTTATTCCTCAAATTCTGTGCCTGATGGGGATGTGGTCCTTGGTCACTCAGTGAGACATGTGGGAACACATATAAATCCAGTACGTTACTGGTTAACTTGTGACATTTGCGTGCAGTTGGCGGCCATACGTGTATGCAGTATCATGATCATGGCTTTTCAAGAGTGCTTCGCACTGCTGAGAATAAAACAATTTTTATTTATTTATAAACAGCCTCACAACTAAAGCACGTTAGTAACAACCGGAAGATCTTTCGGATTTGTTCATCGAGAAGCGTAAAAGGAACTCAAACACTGCAGTTGATGTAGCCTAGAGAATCATCAGGAACATGTTGGAGAATTTAAAGAAGTGTCAGCCGAAGAGGGGAGCGATGTACTCTGGGGAGTTGCGCTATTAATGTAGAACAGGCCAGTGTTAGGCGGATGCTTCGTGTAGGGTGCAACGTACCAAGATAAATTTCACCGAAGGAGCCACTGCCAATTTTGCGCCCGAGACGGTACTTTTTCCCGACACGCAACTCCATGATCTGACAAGAAAGAAAAGGTGCGTTGGTAAACGAGTATGCTTCCACTGACGAATGAGTGAGAGACCATGGACGTGAAGCAAAAACGCATTAAAGCATGCTCAGTGTGAAAGGCAATCAAACAGAAGTGAAATTAATGAGATTAGGCTGTGAAGTACCCACAGAGGAAACAGTCATCAAATATGGACGCCGATGCTGTGGGAAGAAACTTAGAAACAGATTTAGTGAACATTAATTTGCAAACTCTGATCCGTGTATCAGGGGTGCGTGGATTCAGACGTTATGAGACACGTTGCTGAAACAATAAGACATGTAAAGCAGTTGCGAAGAAACGCCTAATCATTTGCATCAAAAATCCCCTACCGATTAGAAAAATGTGATTAGAATGCAAAAAGATGAACGGGAATTTAGATCGACAGATGGAGTAGTTAACGGTCCGAAGTGAGGGAACGAGTGAAGAGTGCCACCACTTCTGTGACCGCGTCACATTCTATAAGAGGCCCGATAACTGAAGTATCCATCTAAGCAATCTGAGTGTTTGGAAACCTTTAGAACCATTTTGCTATCTTGTCATAAGCAGTTCTTCCTCTCTGCATAATAAAGAATCTACAAATGGCTACGACCATTCAAAGATACACCGGTGGCTTACTTCTCATCATCATCATCATTACACGTTAGCTGGAGGTGGAAAACACCTCAGCTATTGTGTCGCAATACAAAAGGCAAGAAAAGAAGAAAAAACAAAACAACAACAACAAACAGTGGCACGCCCGCTGAGTCCCCAGTAACGGATGGACATCGTTCCGGAGAGCTAACAGCTGGCTGCCGTAAAAGAAAGTCATATTATGCCAAACGATTGAGATCGTGATTGGAGGGGGATGCTAAACAGGAGGGGGATGGACAAAGGAACTCACAACACAAACGCCATTGGGACCGGCACCTAGCCATATCAGCAAGTGTGTCCAACCAAACGTGTTCACCGTCCTTAGGACCCCAACCAGGCAGTCGGGATGCACCAACCGACGCCAACTTCGAAGTGAGGGTTTTCATTTCTCTCGACCAAGTCATCACTTGGCCTCCCCTCCTCCTCTTCCAACCGCGCCCACAACGCGTAAACAAAGCACGTCGTGGGAGTCGGTGTGCTGGCATGCGCAACACGTGGCCCAGCCATCGGAGCCTGGTGCGTGATATAATCGTGCTGAGCGGTTCACTCGCTCTTCCTGTACCAAATACGCGACGCCGAACACGCTCATTGCTCACGCGGTGTTCCCACCAGACATGAGCTAAGCTGCGAAGGCAGCGATGATCGAATGTGACGAGTCTCTTCATGTCTGCCGACCTGATGGGCCAGGTTTCACAGCCATATAGGAGAGTTGAACGGACGGCTGCGTTGTAAACTCTGCCCTTCAGGGCGAGAGTAATGTCGCGTCTGCGCCACAGGTGGCGGAGATTGGCAAAAGCACCTCGAGCTTTTGCTATACGGTTCGTAACCTCATCTTCAATCCCACGGGTGCTAATATAGCTGCCCAGGTACTTGAATTCCTGAACGACTTCTAGCAGATCACCACCAAGCGTTAGCGCAGGGTTGGGTCCCTGCCAATCTTGGAGAAGTACTTTGCATTTCGATGGAGCAAAGCATAGCCCAAAACGATTGACAGCCAGTGCTAATCGGTTCAGTGCTGTTTGGCATGTTTGGGAGCTGTCACAGATTAGGGCAATATCGTCTGCATACTCCAAGTCAAGAAGTCGCTCACCAGGGAGTAGCTCCACACCTTCTAGGTCGTGTCCAGCGAACGCTGTTTCCATGACTTCATCAATAGCGAAGTTGAAGAGGAAAGGTGACAGCGGGCATCCTTGTCTCACACCGCTGGTGATACTGAAGGGTGGCGAGAGTTTGCCATAAACCCTCACCCTGCCCGAACTATGTGCGTACAGCGCTTTGATAATATTTACATATTTATCAGGCACACCTTTCCTCAACAGACAGTCCCAAAGGGCACATCGATCGACTGAGTCGAAGGCACCTTTTATGTCAAGAAACACGACAACGGTGGGTCGCCAATAAACATGGCGGTGCTCCAACACTTGACGCAATGTGAAGATGTGGTCGATGCAGCCCCGACCTCGACGAAATCCGGCTTGCTCTTCACGAATCTGGCTTTCACGAGTGCCACTCAGTCTGTGGAGAATGAGAGAGGCAAGCAATTTAGAGGCAATCGAAATCAGACTGATCCCTCTATGATTGCCACATTCTAAACGGGAGCCTCCCTTGAAAATTGGGACAATGACGGAGCGGTTCCAGTCTGTCGGGACTGTCTCCTGCTCCCAAAGTTTTACTAGCAACTCGTGTAGATCATCTACTAGAGCAGGTCCACCGAATTTGAAGAGGGCTGGAGGAATCGTATCTGCTCCTGCGGCCTTATGCAATTTCAACAGCCTGATCTCACATTCGACTTCTGCGCGTGAGGGCGGATCCAAGGAGACGGCCCAAGGAGAAGGGCGCCCAATGCCCGAAGAAGAAAACGATAACTCAGGTTGGTTAAATTGCATAGCAAAGTGTTCAGCCCAACGCTCCAAACGTTTTGACAGGCTGTGGATCATCTGCCCACTCTCGTCGCGTATGGTCTCGTTAACACCAGGTCTTCTGCTGCCTGTTGCCCGTATCAGACGGTATAACTCACGATGATTACCAATGGCAGCGGCAGTTTCCATCTCAAAGGCACGATGAGACCACCAGGTTTCGCGGTCCTTCTTTAGGCTAGCACGTAGTTTCGCCCTGAGATTTTTGCGTGCTTCATTGTATACGCTTCCAGCCGGAATACGTCGGCGAGCATCCATAAGTTCGAGAGACTGTGTAGAGACCCAATGTCCGGTTTTGCAATTTGTTTTGCCACATGAAGACATGCCTGCTAACAGCAACGCTTGACGAGTATGCGACCAGTGATCTTCAACGGTGTTTAGTGGGCGCTTACTCAGCCCAGATGTCAGCGCATCTTGGTACACATTCAGAACATCTGACTTCGCAAGCTGGCTAGTGTCAATCCGTTCACATCGACGTTGCGGACGTCCACCGAAACGCATCAGGAGGTCGGCACATACAAGTGCGTGGTCAGAGTCCACGCTCGTGCTCCAAATCGAGCGACAGTTTTGGACACTTACTTACTTCTACGTTACGGTCAACGGCTTTGGCCTCGCGATATCTGTTAACTATGACTCCTCTTTTACAGAGACCTCATTTAGAAAGCCATCCGTCGACTTCCCAACTTACATCCAGCTAGGCAATCAGCGATCACTGCCTACGGAAATGCAAAAACCCAGATTCTCGTAGACAGACAATTACTCCCCGACAACACTTCTACAAAGTAGGCTGGAAATTCTTTTTCGTTTTGCGTTGATGGGTATCGACCCCAGAGAGTCAAAATAACGCCCTTCAAGCGCGGAACCAAACAAGATCCTCCTTTGGTCATCGCTGTCTGCGGAGCATTGCTGGTGTCGGTTGGCACCAGCGTGTCCACAATGATGACGTGCGTAGGAAAGTGCTAGCCAATGATAGCCGAGCTGGTTCCATAGAATAACATATAGCACTGAATAAGTTGCGTTGGTTTGGACACGTACTGGGTATGCCTGATAAACGCTTACTGAGAACGGCCTTGTTTTGTCTGCAAGATGTAGAGTGGAGAAAAACTCGAGGTGGACAAAAGATAACCTGGCAGAGGGAAGAGGTTACTGACGATTAGACTGAGGGTCATCGGTCCGTCTCGTCTTCCAGGCCGCAGTCTACGTTACCCGCCTTGTGCTTGGCATAAGACTTAACGGGAAATGGCTCGCAGTCGACAACAGTGACGCGTCTGCTGCCGTCTCCTAGTCGGACTGTCTTTAAAATACGTTTGGTGCTAGGTTATCTGCAGGGTAATAGTTGATTATGACGCGGGGCAGTGAAAGCCGCAAGGAAGCTGTCTCGCTGATGCCGCCTTATCTTTGCACGATAGCCAGCTGTTTGTGACTGTATGTTGTTAACACAAGGTGTAGGCGTCTTGACCCTAAACGTTCGCCTAGGTCATTAAGATTTTTAGGTAAGTCCCCCTTCTCTCCCTCTTATTATTCTTGATTCCGCAGGTCATTATGGTTGTATGACAGCGAAGCATCACTTCAAATGGCTGATGTACTGCTGTCGCTGTTGATGTGATGATTCTCACGCGGCACTCACCAGCTGCGGGTGAGAGCACTTTCAACGGAAACACGCCACAATGAGCGAACATTGCTTTCGTCTTTGCTCCTTACTTGTTGCAGGGCCTGTGACATTCTGCATGGATTAGCACGAGTTTTCAAAAATATATGCTGCTGATTCACGTATTGTGAAAGCATTCTTGACTTGCGTGCCTTCAGGTATGAAAGTAATACAAGTTCACAACGAGATTTGTTCGCATCCACAAGCCCCTTCGTTTGGAAGAAACAGATGCACTTTCAGGTGCGGAGCATTACCGGTGTCGCATGGCACCAGTGTGTCCAAAAAGGATAGTGCACACAGGTAGAGAGAAAAGAAAGGCATTAGCAGTAGGCCGGCACACGGTACTGACGCTTCGCTGTCGCGTGGGCTAAAGTTACTGCGGAGGTCGCCCGGTTTCTTGCGCGCCCTCGGATTACAAGGCCGGTTGGCGAATCATAAGGCTACGGGCTAACACATAGGTACCAGGCAGTGGCAATCAGGTTAGTTCCTTAGTGCGACCAACAACACTGAATAAGTAGCGTTGGCTTGAGCACATGCCAAACACATCAGTCTACCTCCTACTGCTGGGGTGCACTGTGTTCGTTTGCTGTAGGTACGAGGGCATAAATTGCGATGGGAGGGGGCAAAGGTTGATTTTACAAAGGGGAAAAAGTCACTAACTGGGCTGCTGTTTCACCTCACTTTCCTGGCTGGTTCGATCGACCCACATTGTACTTGGCTTGAGACTTTACAGGATATTGCTTGCCGCTGGTACCAATGGTGCGTTGCCACTGTT